GAAGAGTTAATTCTTAGGGAAATTCCAAATAAACCATTTGAAGTAGTAGGAGTGGACATATTTTATTTCATGAATAAAGCCTATCTGCTTGTTGTAGATTATTTTAGTAAGTATATTGATTTTATACAGTTAAACTCTGAAACAGCAGAAACTGTTATTACCTCATTGAAATCTGCTTTTGCTAGGTATGGTAAGCCTAGATTAATATATTCTGATGTTGGAGTGCAGTTCACAAGTTTCAAGTTTAAAGATTTTTGTAAAGTATGGCAAATAAATCATGTTATGTCCAGTCCGTACTATCACGAATCTAACGGTATGGTAGAACGCTATGTCGGAATTTGTAAATTAATGCTTAAAAAAGCTGTGGATTCAGGAGTTGATCCATACATTGCATTAATGGAATATAGAAATTCACCAATAGATCCTAAAGTAAACAAATCTCCTTCAGAGTTAGTTTTTGGCCGACAAGTTAATGCGTTTTTACCTACACCAGAGGATTTTGGTATTCAAAATGGCAATAGAGACATTGTAGAGAAATCTCATAAATTTTTTTTGCAAAAACGGCAAGAGGATTATAAAAAATATCATGATAAACGACATCATGGTAAAGCTCAGGAATTTGAAAAGGAGGAGGTAGTACATGTTAAAGACCAGGTACATAAAATGGTACCAGCACAAATAATAGGCCCAAGTGAGAGACCAAGGGCATATAAAGTTAAAATGCCTAGTGGCAATGTTGTAGAAAGAAATCGCTTCAACATATATAAAGCCTCGCCTTTGCAAACTTTTAAGCAGGAGCCTGTAGATATTGGTTTTGACTTAAGTGAGAATATTGCGTTGGATAGTAAAAAAAATAACAGCACAAGAGTTTCAGTGCATGTTAAAAAAGAAGTTGAAAAAGTTCCATCAACATATTCTCGCTCAGGGAGACAAATATCCAAACCAAAATATTTGTCTGAATATGTCTTAGAGTAGATTTTTATGGAAAAGTCTATTGTTTTTTTTTTGAAGTTCTTAAGTAAGTGATAGTTGGATGTTTATTTTTTTTACTTTAAAAAAGGGGGATGTCAGGTGGTTTATGTAATGTGGTAATCGATTTGTACAACTGTAATGTTTTCGAACGCACCCCAACTTGACATTTGACAAGTAGTAGTGGCTACAGTGACTCTATTACCACAGTGGCGACAATTACTGTCTTATTTTTGATTGGTTCTAAAATCCCATATATTTATATTGAAAACGCCGCCATCTTGTTCCCAACCTCTCGTTACTTTTAAATATGAATATATGGGATTTAGGTGAACATCCATCATAAATCATGGAAAACAACGTATTTCATGGACCTAATAATGGTTATCAAATACGTCGATTTCAATTTTTTATGATAGATGTCCATTCAAATCCTATATATTAATATTTAAAAGTAACAAGAGGTTGGGAACAAGATGGCGGCGGGACCTCTATTGTCGCCACTGTATGTAAAGGTTTATTTAGCCACTGTAGTAGTGGCATGGTCCGTCGAAGAGTCAGTCATGGGTGAGCCTTTGTTATGAATAAATAAATTAATTAAAAAACAGTAATTTGGATAAATTAAATCCTTGTTTTATTATCTAAAACTGACAATCTGTCTGCCCAGTACTTCGAAGCTCACTTCCGGGACTTGTCTCTTGGACGTGATTATAACTGCTTCCGTCTTTTCGCTTGCCAATTGCAGGTGCTTGCTTTGTAGCCATTCTTCTATTCTTAGTAGCGCTATCCCTACCTTGACTTTCATTTCCTCTACGTCGCGCGCCAGTACGACGAGCGCGATGTCGTCTGCATATCCCACCAGAGTAACGCCCTCCGGTTGCTCGAGGTCGAGCAGTCCGTCATAAAGTAGGTTCCAGAGTGTCGGTCCAAGGACCGATCCCTGCGGTACCCCACATGTCATGTTTATCTGTGTCGTCCTCTCTTCAGCTTCAATTATGATCTGTCTCTCGGTGAGGTAGTCTTGCAAGATCCTTATCATGTATGGGGCCGCCCCTCTGTCTTCGATTTCCGTTATGGTTTCCATCCATGGTGCCGAATTGAAGGCATTCCTAATGTCGAGTGTAATAATCGAGCCAAGTCTCCTATGCCTGTGGCTCTTTTTGTGGATACCTTCTTTCAATATGCCAAGTACTTCCCGTATTGCCATAGTTGTCGATCTTTCCCGTCTAAACCCGAATTGTCTGTTGGCGAGCGTTTCAGTCAGGTCAAGGTCTGTTGTGAGTCTGGAAAGTATAATGTGCTCCAGGAGCTTGCCACATGTGTTGAGAAGACACAGGGGTCTGTACTTCCTTTCCTCTTTGGGGTCCTTTTTTGGTTTTTCAATGAGTACCAGTCTAGCCCTCTTCCATGCGCTAGGTATCTTTCCGGATTTCACGATTCTGTTTAGTGTTCCCTGTAGTAGTTCTGGATATTGTGGCGCTATTGCTTTTATTATTTCGGCTGGTACTCCGTCTAACCCTGGGGCTTTGTGGGCCTTAAGTTTCTGGCTTGCCCTTTGGACTTCCTCCACTGTGACGTCTGGGACGTTGTCTTCTCGTACATTCGGCTGTCTCCAATTCGTTAGGGGTCTAGACGGGAATAATTCTTTCGCAGTTTTCAAAGCCGTGTCCATTGTCATTGCCCGGGTTGTGTTGGATCTAATTTTGAGCCTTCTCGTTGCGATCCTATAGCCTTCACCCCAAATGTCGTTGTCAATCTCATCGCAGAGTTTTCTCCAGCATCTTTTCTTTGAGATATTAATTTGTAGTCTCAGCTCCTTCCGGGTTTCGGTGTACTGCGCTCTGTCCTCTTCGTTCCTTGCGTTGCTTCTTCTGTTGTTCCTAGTCATCTTTCTTTTAGCTTTCACGCATTTTCGCCTCAGTTCCGCTATCTCTGGCGTCCTCCAGTAGACGGGTTGTCTATTATTGTAGGTGTGTCTCCTAGGCATGGTCGCATCGCATATTCTCTTTAGCGCCTGTTCAAGCTGGTACGGATCTGTGGGGGGGGGGGTTCGTTTCTTGTGCTGGCGATGATCGCGTTGAGTTTATTTATTTCTAGTTTTTTGGTGTTCCAGAGATTTCGATTGGCACTGGGTGGTATGCATGCCGTTTTGCCATCTGTTTCGAAATATATGTACCTATGGTCACTCATTGTTTCCTGGCTAATGACTTTCCAGTCCTTGATTTTGGAGCCAATTTTCCCTTTGGTTAGTGTGATGTCCACTATGGAGCTGGCTTCCCCCCTTTAGATGGTAGCCTCTCCACCTTCGTTCTGTAGGGTAAGGTCTCTAGCCGCCATCCATTCTAGGAGTACGATGCCCCTGTTGTTTGTACTCCGCACACCCCATTCGATTGCGCTGGCATTGAAGTCGCCCATAATAATGGCGTCCTTCGAGTTTTGGTCCAGTGCTCTGCCCAGTTCGTGCAATGCCTGCTTGTAATCTTCTATATTTATGTTTGGAGAGTAGTAGCAGCTGAAGAGTCTGTATTCCTTTAGTTCTATGGACGTGTAGCCAGGTCCGGCTGCTGAGGCAATGAGAGGGATGTTGTTGTTGTAGACTTTGAGGGCGGCGTCAATGTTTGTATCGGGGAGCCACTCAGTTTTTTCAATTTCTCTATGGTTCGGCTCAGATATTGCAGCTATGTCTATGTCGAGTTCTTTGATGACGGCGGTTAGTAGGTCATGGGCTGCGTGACAGCGGTTGAGGTTTATCTGTATTATTCTGGTGACATTAGTGCTTGGGTTAGTGTTGTCCATTTAGGGTTATCTGCTTGGGACACTTTCTAGACCCGGTCTGGTGTCCTTTTTCATTACATTCTATGCATGCCGCCTCGGCCTTACATTCTCTCGCATAGTGTCCGTCTTGGCCGCATTTGGCGCATAGACTCCTTCTATCGGGTCCTTGGCATCGACTACTGTTATGTCCTGCACGCCAGCATCGGAAACATTTTGGCTGTTCAACCCTCTCCTTAACGCTGCATCTGTTCCAGCCTATTTTTATACTTGCCCTGCCAATGAGAATATCTGCTGCGGGTGCTGGTAGGATCACCGTCGCGTTTTGCGTACCTTGCCAGGATTTCCTCACCGACGTTACCCGAATGTCTTTTATCAGGGTATCTGTCTCTTTGGCTATCACCTCCTCTATCTCTGCCTTGTCTGTGAGACCATCAAGGTTTCGTATGTGTAGTACTTTGGTTGCTACTCTCTGTATGGCTTTGGCGCCTTTAAGTTTGCTGTTGATGGTATCTATTAGTTTATTAGCTTCTTCTTTTCCTCCTTTATACGTTATCAGTAGCTCTCCTTTTCTGGTTTCTCTCGCGTTATTTATGGTGACTCCTATTTCTAGTGGGTCTACTTCCGTTCTCATTGACTTTAGCAGTTCCGCATATGTCTTGCCTTCTGCGCTGACGATGAGTGCGTCTTGCTTTGTCCTGGGGTTTTGGCTCCCAGGATTCTGCTTTTTTGAGCATATGTAGAGGTCAATATTCGTGTTGTAAAAGACAAATTCAAGCATTTTTTGGAGCTTTGGGGTCTCGTTGCCTATATTTTGGAGCACCCGTTTGTCTCTTCCTTCTTTATAGGCTTTCTCCTTGAGTCTCTTTAGTGCGTTATAGGCGGTTTCCTCCTCTATGAGTCCTGCGTCGTTAAGCATTGAGGCACAGAAGAGGTACTGCCTCTTTTTGTTCAGGGATCCATCCTTGTTTGGGATCTCTGATGTGTTTATCGTATGCGTCAGTTCGCCCTTCTCCAGGTTTTTATTTTTTAATATTTCGAGTCCGCTAAATCGGGTGTCTACCTGTTTGATTAAGCCGTGTGTCCATTTGTCATCCACGATTATAACAATATCCAGGTCCTCGTCTTCCTTGAAGACTCTCGTGAAGGATAGGTGTCTTGGCCAGGATATACTGGCTATGTTTTTAAAGTCTTCTAGTTTTCCCTCGAGCATACAGTCCTTTATGTTCCTTATGCGCTCCTCGTCGCTCGTCGCTGGCTCAGTCTGGATCGATTTCGTTGTCACCCTCACGTCTTCGGTTTTGTTTTATTGCCCTGTTTAACTTTGTCGCCAGGCCGGTCAACGTTTCCACGGCTCTCTTGATTTCCACCTTTGTATTGGAGTTTTGTTTTACAAGGGTCTGGGTGTCCCCGATTTTTTTTATTGTCTCTTCAGCGAGCTTGATTAACTCGTCTTCTTCTACAGCCGTTGGAGGTGTCTCCACTCGTCTCCTTTTGAGGCGTTGTCCCTCTGGGGTCTCTTCTATTTCTTTATGACTGCGATTCGATAGCCCTGGTGGCGTCCTCTGGAAGGGGTTTATCTCTGTTTGGATAATCAGTCCTTCTATCGCCTGCGTACTTGCTTCTGGTAGCGATGAAGTTCTGGTTCTCGGTGGTGTCCTCCTCTGGCATCCCGCTGCGCTGAAAAGGTCCGCGAATATTTCCTTTATCGAGTGGTCTGCGTCCTCCTCTTCATCAAGGGTATTTCTCTTCCCTTCAATTATTGTTCCAGTAGCAGTTGCGGCCTGGTTCCCCGCCGGAGTCTGCACAGTAGTCGGCTAACGGTCGGGGGTGGCCTGCGCTATCACCTTCCTCACCGACCGATACTGGGGTATCCCTCCCCTGCATCGTAAACGTTTCCTTTTTGTTTGCGTCCGTCATAATTTTTCCATTGGTTTGTTTGGGAGTTTGGGGAAACAATAAGGATGCCCCTAGCCCTCGGGTAGCCTAATAGCGTCGGGGGGGAGGTGGTGTGTTGGTGAGTTGGGGGGTTTGGGGTTGGGAGTATCTGGAGTGGGATCACCCTGGGTTTGGGGTGAGAGCCCAGCTAGGGTGCCTCGGGCTCGCCACACCCGTGCCCGCAGTGCGGGCCCCTGAGGCTGAGCTGTCCTTAGCAGCGGCTGGCCAGTCAAATGCACGGTCAGCCGCTGTGCCCCTCCACCAACGACAAGGTCTCACAGCTCCATGGAGGGGAGTTTGCATGTACCTGTCGCACCTGCCAATGCATTATCAGTTTAAAATTTTTAATGTTGTCACATTCACTTCACATCTTTGAGCTATTCCAAAAATATATTTTGTTCCACGTAAAAATACATATTTTAGCTCGATTGACATAAAAACAGTTGCCTTTGGTTTTAGTTGAAATGTTTTTTTTTCTACTGCCTTGCGTAAAGTACTTACTTTACACACTGTTCAAACGTTGAGTTAGATTTCACAAACTATTGCGTAAAGTGATTCACAACAACAAAAAAGTTTAAGAAATTGTAGTTTAAGGATTGTATGTGGTCTATTTTTTGGGCAGATGATAGGTTTGAAGAAAAATAGTCTTGAAAATCCCAAAAATTCTTTATTTATGTACTACCGGTTTCGAAGCTTCAACGCTTCATCTTCAGGTATAAAAAGACTAAAATTGAAAAAATACCACAATGAGCACCAGTTGCATTATTTTCGTTGAATCAATCAACCTCTAAACTTGGTTATATTAGTCTTAATATCTAAAAACTGTAACTTACATATTTAATAATAAGGGGAGTTGTCAAAATCAGGTCGATTCGGAGGAACAATACCTGGGCATTAGGCAAAATTGTCAATAAGGGATGTTACCCTTTTGAGTGTTATACTCATGTCCAAAAACAAGAAGGTCGGTTGATATTTTTAGTCTGAAAAAATTCCAGGAAAATTATTGAAATTTATTAGCAGTAGAAATTCGATAAGTTTACAAAGGGTTGGAAGTTTTTTATTAAATTCCATTATGTGAAAAATACCTTTATTTGTCAAAATGGTGTCTCTTCAGAACATGTTTTTTTCTTTCTTTTTTTTTTTTTGTTTTTTGGCTTCTACCGTAGTCATTTTGAACACACGCGCTCGCGACTTTCACACTGTTTTGTGATTTCACTTAGTTTCCTGATACTTTTAACAAACTTGCTTTCACGGACTGCGATACTGTAAGGTGCTGAAGCCCTTGAATAAAACTTTTATTTCGTTAATACGTAATATGATATTTATGATTTTAGTGACACTTTTGTTGATACATCAAGAATACGTCATGATCTCGTTTTTCAGCTCTTGCAGACAGGCTCTAGGAAGCTGGGCCATCGTCATGGGCCACGATCCAATTTACTTTCTGCGCACGTGCGCCTATACATAGAACAATCTAAAATATTAAACGGGGTTTCCACCAAGACACCAAGTTAAGTCAAAAAATCGTGAAGAGATTGAAGCGCGACGCTTGTCAAAAACGTATTATTATTTAACAATTATCAACGAAATTTGTGTGCTTGTCTCCTGTTAGCTTTCGAAACAATCTATTGCAGTGTTGCCGTTGTAATAGGTTAGGTTATCAGGACATTGTTGGGAAAATGATACACTCAAGTTAACGGTTTAAAGTAGAATCTATTCAATATAATTTAACAACAATAAAGTTAAGTCTATTATTGGAGCTGCAATATTTGCCAAGAAAGCTGTGCTGGGAATTTTGCAATAGAAAAGTTATTAGGTAGCTACTTCCAACTAACAAAATGATGACTCTTTACTATTTTTTGGGGTTTCCAAATTTAGAATTAACATATAATAATTTTTATCTCTAAAATCATTTTTATTGTTTGAGTTCTGCAGGTACATTCTATTTTTAAGGCCCGAATTCACCAAAAACGCTGAAATCGCCGTTTTCGTAAACGTCGTTCATCTTAAACACCGAAAATTAAAACGCAGTTTTGTTCTGCGGTATGCACCGATATGTGTAATGTGTTTTTCAGCTGCATTTTAACGAAACGGCGTTTAAGTGAATGCACTGTTTGGCAACATCGGAAATAGCAAGGAATAGAAGAAAAAAGACGAGAAAATGTAGGTTATGTACGTCAAGGTTCACTCAAAATTTATTGTTGCTGGTGTTATGACAAGAAAATTTGTATTGTTATTGTTAATTATCCTAGAGTAAATAAAGCATAGAAAATGGCACTACAAGAATATGGCTCATCAGGACTAGGGGGCGGGCTACCTATAGGATGATGGTAGAAATATTTCAGCGAAAAGAATATTACTTGTGGAGGCAATTGCAGGATTCATTGCCGAAATTCGTATTTTCCATTACACAAAAAAAAAACAGAACAGGAGACAATGCACTATTCACCAAAGTATTTCCATTTTCTGTCCCGAATTACGGTAAAACGTCGTTTTAATCCATAAACGCACGACGAACAGTCGCTTTGCTCCTGACAGTAGTTTTAGGAACAAACTACGGATTTAGGCATATGGTGAATTCCATTTGTAGCGGAAACCGCGTTTAAGATTTTAAAACAGAGTTTTACACGTTGGTGAATTCGGACCTAAACCCTTTTGTTATCATTATTTGTGCCCATTTCCAGCATTCTTGTCGCTAAGCGAAATAGGAAAGAAAGAGATACACGTATTCTTGTACCTTCCACCCCTTAAAATAAGACCGCTCACGTAGGAATATCTAAAAGTCTTCAAATTCCAACCAACTAGAACCAGTTGCTAGAGTTCTATCTGTGAAGAAATAGGTCACGGCCATTACTTTCTCTTTTCGCGCGTTTAGGCGTTTAATTATTCTAATTATTACTTAAAGTAATGTTCTCTCGCTGTTTGCCGGTTTGTCGCGACAACAATAATTTATTCTTGTCCATGGTGGCATATTTTCTAACTGGACTGGATCAGTTATAAATTATTATTTCTAAGTTCCACGTTTCTACCTACGTTCTACTGTAAGAACTTGAACTTAAATAATTATTAGGGCGCTACTGTCTTATACAAGTACAGGCGATACGTATGTAATGGGCTGGACTTTTTATTCCTGTATCGTCATGAATGTTGACAAATAGTCAGGTTTTTGATGCAGCTGGCTAGGGGCGGTGTGACTTTTACAGTGTGTTTGATGAGGAGGGTTCATTCCTGTATCGTTATAATGATTAACGAACAGTGGGACCCGGTATCCAGCTGAACAATTAACAATGTGTCATAGCCTGAAAGAAAAAAAAAACAATAATTCATTAATTAGCAGATAGCAAAGAGAATTAAAGTTTAGTTGCAAAAGAATTCCAAAAAAAAAGTAACTCACCCTTATGGTTCTCGACCAATAAATAAAATAATTAGGACGCTGCTGATTTGTACATAAATAATAAATCGCGCTTGTGCGCAAAAACCATAAATCCTCAATCAAAGCAACCCAAGGGAAACTTCTTAAGGAATTCCTCGATCGCAGATTTTTTATTGAGGAGGATCTTTCTGGTAAAATCAAAGTCTTTGTGAAGTTTCCTGATCGCACTCTCCGATCCCTTTTCAGTCTTCCCAGCCAGGATTTTGTTTCGGTTGCCATCCGAACACACATGCTTCATGGTGTAAAAGAAAAAAAAAATTAATTAAAAGATTAAAATGCGAATCAAACGATATGATTTTCGGATGTTGAAAAATTCTCGTTAGTTTTATTTAAAAGTAATGATTAACGTAATAAAACAAGATAACTTACATTATTGCGGCTCATTCCCGAACAACGGATGACCTGAACTGGGAGACGAATGATGCAATGTGACCCTCCAAGTCTCCTCCAATTGAACAAGTTTTTCGACCAATGCCGCATATTTGAAGGTGTGGCCGATGCTAGTGGAGGATGAGGATGTTGTTGGTGTGTTGCTACCAGGAAGCACGGAGGAGACCACTAACGACACAGGATTCGGATTACTGGCAGCAGTAGCAGTAGCAGTCGTCGACGAAGAAGAAGAATTGGGCTTATCCAACCGAAAGAAGGATTGAAAAAGTTTCGGTTTCTTTGCTGTGCCGCTGGCGGTAGCGCTTGTGGTAACGGTAGCGCTCGTGGTGACGGTAGCGCTCGTGGTGACGGTAGCGCTCGTGGTGATAGTATCGCTTGTGGTGACAGTAGCGCTTGTGGTGACGGTAACGCTTGTGGTGGTGACGGTAGCGCTTGTGGTGGTGAAGGTAGCGCTTGTGGTGCTAACGGTAGCGCTTGTGGTGACGGGAATCATCAATGACCATTTCCTTTTCAAGCTGGGTTTCTTCAAAAACGGATTAGTGGGCCGTGATTGCGCCGGCGGTGGCGGCGATGGCGGCGCCGGTGTGGGTGCTGGTCGCCTGGCCGGCTCTTTGCCCAAATACATATCGATGAGATAATCCGTCAGTTCGCTCGTTGGCGGCGGAGGAACCGAAAAAACCGCTGGTGGAGCGGGTGAAATTGGAATGGATGCCGGTTTCCTGAATTGTATCAAATTAGCCACCCGCTTGGAGAAAGTCGTGGTGGAGGTACTAGCGACAACGGTGGTCGAAGAGGAGGAGGGGTGGACGGTGGCAGCATATTTCCTCGAATGGATTATCGTCCACACGTTGCGCCTTTGTTCTGTTGAAATGAACGTCGCCGGAAAACATTCAACGTTTCGGTCAATATATGCCCTTATCACCATTCGCATGCTGTCATCTCTCGCATCCTCTGCGTTCAAACAATATGAAGAAAGCATCGCGCCAATCAATTTCCGTGGGCGCAATAGGTATTCCACCAAACTGCTTACCGGAACCTCATCGTGTACCCGTCCTTCTGCCACAAGGGACTAACATAAACATAAACATAATATTTATTCACGCTGATACACCTACATCATAGTGTTTACATACGTCAGGAGAGAACAAAAAGAATTTTGTTACAATATTTGAGAGAAGTTGAAAACAATTTTTCCATGAACTAACTAATACATATTCTATACAATATTAAACGCAGTACCTGTATGCTATTTATAATTATTCTTATATTATACTATTTATATAAACATTTGCGAAGGGCAGCTACAAGATGTCCGAGAAGTTATCTTCATAAAACTCGTCAACTAAGTGAAAACATTTTCTTATCAAGTAAGTTTTAACAATGATGTTAAATTTTTTAGGAGGTAACACCCTCACAGTGGCAGGCAGGGCGTTGAATTATTTTGGTCCATAGAATGATGTCCCTGTTTTTATTTTGTTTATTCTGTGATAATCGGTATAAGTATCTACTCTGTTTCGTGTGCTGTAAGAATGTACGCTTTCATGTGTACAATATTCTTCAAGATGTTCCCTTGTATATACTACGCAGTGAAATATATATCTGCATGGTACACTCAATAGGTTGAATTTCCTGAAAGCACCCCTACAGTCATCCCGATAGCCTAACCCACACATAGCTCTTATGGCCTTACATTGTAGACGAAACAATCTTTTAATATTTGGAGAATGGCCCCACACTAATATTGCATAAGACATTCTAGACTCTATGAAAGCGTGATAAATACTTTTCAGTACCACTTCAGAGACCACCCCGACCAGATTTCTTAGTGCAAAAATGCAAGAGGCTACTCTATCGCAAATTTTATCTACATGTATATTCCAAGTCTTAGATGCGCCATGCTCTTGAACATTTTTGCGCGATCCTTCCTTTTGGTAGCGTAGGCGTTGACGCTACAGTTGCTTTGCGCGAAACAACCGTACAGCTCGAACATCCTGCGCACGGTCGTCATCGTCTCCAACGGTGGTGAGTTGCCCAAAAGCAGACACGCCTGGTATAACTCTGTTATGTTGTTGACATACTGCGGCTGACCAAACCCGATCAGTGAAAATCTCGTAACGACATTACGGAATTCCTACACGCTCAATATCTCTGACGGTTCACCGTTGGCAGCCGCATATTTCCTCCACAAGGCCAAGTCGTACCTGTGAACAAGAATTATGTAAACATAAAGTGTCACATGTACAGAGCTTAATAGTTTTTATTTATATTTTGAACGACATGTAACATTTGAAGGTATAACCACACCATACGTAAAGTCAGAAGTGGAGTGATACACAGTCAATTTTCTGCTTTATTAGATAGCTGAATGAGGCGTTTGGAGCAGAAAAGCTTACATACCTTTGTTTTCCTTCTTCCAGCCACCTCAATAGGCCATTTTGCAAATGGACCATTTTCGAAAATGTTTCACAATCAAAACCATCATGAATGAGTCGCTTCTGGCATACATTGTGGGAGAGTCGCGAGGAAAACATTAACCGCATCCGCCTAACAAAACTCAACCGCTCCTCTATGTGGGTAGTCCACGAACGCCCCTCGGATACTATCAGTACTTGTTGGTCCTCCAACCTTTCGATCAGTCTGCGGAGCTCGTCGTACAGCTTCGCAGGACTGGGAATGCTCGTAAACACAAATTCCACTCTTTCGGTCAGTCCCGACTCTTTGATACCCTCCATATAGTCGATGACCTTGGAGAGGAATGATTTGTTTTCCTGTCCAAATACAGCAGGTTTTGCTATGTTATCTGCCGCCACCTCCAAATTGCCGCACAAGGCGGTACAAACGGTTTATCCCATGTTTCTGTGAAACATTACGTAGCTTGTGTGACTCTTCGTCGTAAATCTGCGAAAAGAAAAGGAAAATGTATATATATATCTATACATTATATGTATAAAAGGTTAAAGGGTATTTCTGTCCGGCTCCTCAAGCGGAAACCATTCCACCGAGTAAGTATTTCCATTTCTTGTATTGCTCAAAGAAACTTAACTGTGGAAAGTTTTTTGTTTTTGATCAATAACGAAAGATTTTTCTTAACTAAACTGGTCACTGAGGATTTTCGGTTCAGTTTCAAATTTTCAGTTAGGGCCAAAACAGAATATGGAAAAATGTGTCATCCAAGAATGTTAATCATTTTCTAAAAGCACTGCGTTAAAAGTGAGCTAAGCTCTTCGGAAATATTTATCCTCACTCCTTTTGGAATAATTTTTATGACAGGTACTGATGATTTTAAGTTGGAGAGAATACTTGATTAATCGATAGTGTGCTTATCTATTTGGCATTGAGTTTGATTGGAAGTACTTGGTGAATTTTGCGATGACTCTTCAGAATTCATTATACTAAGCATATCAGGTATGTTTGACTTTCATAGTGTTCATCCATTGTTTTTATCCTATCTGTACGCCATATTGAATGAATACAAGTGGCCTGCAGTCATTAGGTAATGTAGCAACCCGGTCCTGTGACATGACAGAAATGACATCTATCAATGACTGTAGCATTTTTAGATTTCTGCTCTAAAAACACTACTGTTTTTGGGTTAATGTTTCTTTGTTGTCGGTTGTACATTTAATTCATTCGGACAGTTTTTTACGAGGAATTTATTAGTACACACTTATCAAACTTTTGTGATGTGATACTACCTGAATTTCATATTTTTATTATAATCCATACTCTATTAAATATCTAGTATAACAAAAGTTCTATTTTACAACATGTAGCTGTAGGCTTCGGTTGCCCAAGTTCTTTGTGGATCCTAATTTCGAACATAGTATTTTGTCATGTTTATCTTCTCACTAGTTCTTTTTATGGGTGGATTGACGGCCGCTTTCTATCTTTATTCAAGATCTAAAATATAAAAGGAATAGACTTGGGGTAACTTGGTCCCGGTGCATATTGTAGTGTCCCTCATTGATAAATGTTGTTTTTAGCCTGATTTTTCCGAGTGTGAAAATTCATTATTTTCTTTTCTAATTTTAGGTTAATTGTTTACCCTTTTTGACATATCGAATTTGCACATCTGTTCTTCTTTTTTTGGGGTATGTTGACATTTTCCTCTGGGCGTTTTCGGAAGGTTGTTTCTTCGCTCCAACCAGGTTCCAAGGTGGTTCGGTACAGCCCGAACGAAAGGACCGGTTAGTGGCGAATTCGCGAACACACCTGTGCTGTCATCTGTCGAACGAATCATCCCTTCTCGAATTTACGAATTTTGCGTTTCCGGAAGGAAGCAGAAAATCTTCCTCGTGTGCCCTTTTCTCTTTCCTGCTGGCAATGGCGAAAGCAAGTCACGATTTGAGCTGAGCAAATTGAGCCGTGCCTTTGAGACCTTATCAAAAGAAAATTTGATATTTTGTTTGGGCTCTCTATAGGCTCGACTTTGTCTTGAGAAAGTGGTAAATTACTTTCTTCTTAAAACGTATTTTCTTGCCCCAAAAACATGTGCTCTTTTATTTTCAAGGTACGAAAATTACTTGGTTCCCTCTGAGAAGGATTCGTCTATATCTATTCCGTTTTGTAACCCTCGTTGAGGTAAGGTTTATTCATATTTAAAAGACTTATTTAGCCTTATACCAACTGTGGTTACAGGGTTTTTTGGACCAGTTTTGGATACAGTTCTTAGGTCAGGTTTTGAGACCCAGTTTAGGCTTCAAGTTTACTGCCTGGTTGGTCAGTGCGTGCATCGTTTTGCGTCAGGTTTCATTGAAGTTGTGGTTCGATTGGGCGAGGAACAGCCGGTGTCAGAACCTTGAGGTTAGGCCTTGGCCTACATATACATAACCTAGAACAATAGTCTACGCAATGACGTCTACACTTCTAGGAGAATCCTAGAGTGTGCTCCATTTCAATACAGTTCAGAAGAAGTATCTGGATTAATTATCTAAGAAGTATACATATAAAGGATGTGAGTAAGTTACACGTTTGTACAATTGTCTTAGCAAATTATTTACATAAATTATTAAGCATTCGCTTAAATGTAGCGTTACCCTTTGCGGCAGAACAAAGTTCCGGAATTTTTCCCCTGCATGCGCATATTACAATAAAAATAGGATGAATGACTATATTTGGTCCATTCAAATTTGCTAGCGATTACCCGTGTAGGGTAAACGCACCAGTGTTTGAACGCTTAAGGATTTTTTGGTATCAGTGTTTGACCGAGCCATTTTTTTTTTCTGGTAGATACATATACATTCAAATAAAATAATCAAAAATGTGATCAAACATACGTTATTCAGTTAAAGTTACTTACCCCAGATATTGAATATACCGTCATTGTTGGCGTAATGATTGATGTTTTAGAATCACCTTCGGAGTTACGTGGACTGTAAGCGCAACTAATGAATATGTAGCAAAAAATAACCATACAAAAGACAATATGATAAAAGGCGCCTTACCTGTGGTTCTGGGGTTCTTCTAGTTCAAAGTTAATTGTTAATACCGGGATCCCGGGTCTTGTTTCGGTTGCACAACACTACCGGCTTTTATTTCGAACCGGTAACCGGCGAGCTCGCGAATTCATCGACTTTCTTGTGTGCGAAAACGGATTAAAAAATGTGTGTTCGTGTTTCGTGTTTGGCGAAAAGAGAGAGAGTGTGTCGCAGTCGCTTGGCTGTACGAATCGAGTGTTTTTCGTACCTTTTTTGTCGACCTCGGTTCCATACCGAGGGCGCTGGTGTTCCTTACATAGGAGGCGCTATACCTATTCGAATTTGTATGGTTTTTCAAAATGAGCAAAATTCGTGACTTTGACACTCTTGAAGAGATGCACATACAGTCATAAAGTAGAATTTTTAAAAATGAAAAAAGAAAACGGTGTTAGGATATTTAGTCTTTGACCACTTTGATTGAATTAGTTGACCGAAATTATCTAGTCTTTGACCTTAAAACTCTAAGCGTTTGACCATTTTTTGGAAGTAATACTTTGGTATA